TCCTTGGGTTTCCAAGGCAGTATCACTACGGAAGTAGATTGCCCCATCTTCCTTCTGAGGAGTGGCTGGTGGGTTTGAACCGTCAGCCTTCTGGTGAGCAGTCAGATGCCTTAGGCATTACTCTGAAACAACTGGGGTCGCAGAGGTTCGGGGGACCTTGTGGATCACCTGGTTCAGTCCGATCAGAGAGGGGAAGGACCTTGCCCAGCGTTACACAGTTAGCCAGGAGCAGAGCTTCCCAAAGCCCAGCTCAGTGCCTCAGCTGTCCTTCACTCCCAAAGACCAGGACCCCAGTACTCAGAGATCTAATCCCATGCACATACCCTTTGTGGAGAGTGACTCAGTTTACCCATAGCTCACTGGCTTGTTCCCATAGTAGTGGGCTCATGGGAGAGAACACCAACCCCAGTGATTTCAGAGACTGGAATCAAGGACACTATAGAGCCAGTTGTTGGTCAAGGAAGGCCCCTCAGATGGGTGGATTCTGAGTTGTGGTTATTATTTGTCTGTTTACCTGAATGTATCTAGGACTGATCCCACTTAGTGGGATGAAGGAAGTTAATTAAAGGGTGGAGGGAAGGTGGGGAGGAAGCACAGATGCCCAGACCTCAGGATTACATACAATTACTTGTAAACTTTGCTCTGAGCTTCCTGGCAGCCAACGTGAAAAGGGACCCATGCTCAGTTATGCAGCTTCCTCCGTCCCTGTTCCTCAGGGGAAGTGAAGCATTTCCAAGCTGTCAGCCCTGAAAGGCTGAGCCCCGAAGGCAGTGCTGTGGTGGGCTGTGTCTGCAGAAACACGCAGTGATGGGTTCATGAGGCTGGATGGGCACCCAGACGGATGGGGGTGTTCCCTGGGTGAGGATGGCAGGCCGGCGGGGGCGTGTTTGGAGGCGGGCGCTGGCAGGAGCTGGCCTCACCAGCTGTTGCTGTCATCATTGCAGCTGGGCCGCACAGTGCTGTCCCCAGTCTGGTTCCTCTACAGCCTGCTTATGAAGTTGTTCCAGCGCTCCACCCCGGCCATCACCCTTGAGAGCCCGGACATCAAGTACCCGCTGCGGCTTGTCGACAAGGAGGTGAATGTGGGGGCCCTGGGGGGCTTCAGGGAGCGGGCAAGGCACCTCTTCCCCTTGTCGACATCACAGCCCTCAGCATTCCTCAAGCAGAGTCCCCCGAGGCAGCTCCTACTCTCTAACCCATTTTACAGATGGGGAAAGCAAGGCGATGTCCCTCGCCAAGGCCACTGGTGAGTGGCAGAGGTGGGGTTTGAGCCCAGGTTTCGCTGGCTGCAGGGCCTGTTCTCTGAGCCACCCTCACTCTTTCACGGAAGGTCAGAGTGGAAGGGACCCTTCCTGACTTTGAGATGCAAACCCCCATTAACAGCAGGTTGGAAAGGAGTGGGGGAGATTCACGTCACACTGTGAGTCAAGGGTTCAACCGGGACTCAGGCCCAGGCCTCCTGGTGCGTCCCGTGAAGTGCTCAGTTCCTTGGGGTAAGGGCTTGCCTCCTTCTGCCCCCTGAACCCCCTGTACCCAGCATCATCAACCCATAGCACCTGGTGGCCCTGGGATGTTTCTGCTTCTGCATAGTCACTCTGGTGGTCTCTGCTGTGTGGCTCCATCTGCCCAGCTGGGAGGCTCACCCGCGCCTGCCCTTCTCAACTTCTGATCTGATTTAAAGCCACTCCCTCATCCCTTTGTCCTGCCATCCAGTAAGGGCTGCTGCCCTCGGTGTCTGTCCTCAAGGCCACCCTGAAGCCACCTCATGAGGAGTGTAGCAGGGCCCATTGTATAGCAGACAGTTACCCGCCAAGGCCCTGGACCCTGGGCTCACCCAGGCCTGTATCAGGATGCTTTGCCTGTGCCCCCATGAGTTTCAGGGCCCCAGGACACAGAGCTCAGGGAGACCTATAATTACACTGGTGTTCCATGGGAAATCAAAACTGAGATGAGCTAAGGAGACAAAAACCACCACCACCCAGACGAGAGCATCTTTCAGTGTTTATTGACGTGTGTGCACACGCTGCTCCTTACCACATGAAATGATGTTTATACATGGTGTGCACAAGTTAGACTCCTTACCACATAGAAATCACGTGCACATGTTGTTCACCACATGAAAATCATATTTATACATGTGTGTGCAGTCGTGCTGCTCCTTGCCACACGAAAATCATGTTCATACATGTTTGTACACACACACTGCTCCTTAGCATGCAGAAGTCATGTATAAAATGCATGTGTGCACTCACTGCTCCTTACCACATGGAAATCATGTCTATATGCATGCACGTGTGCACATGCACTGCTCTTTACCAGATGGAAATCATGTTTATACATGCATGTGCACACACTGCTCATTACCAAGTGGAAATCCAAGGTTTGAAACCTGTTTTTCATAACCTTTTCCATGTGTTTTTAAAATATTATTATTGTAGAAGTAATATATGATCTAAACGTGTGTGCTGTAAAAATTCTCTCTACAAAGTGTGAGAGTCCCCTCCGCCCCTCTCCCCCTGCAAGGCCGTATCCTGCGGTCCTGAGTCAGGGTCAGCGTGTACAGGGTCAGCGTGTACTCGCTGAACCTTTTCTCAGCATTACGTTCATACATCTGTGATATGTGGCTCTTCCATACCCCAAAAAAACCAAACCCATAGCCATGAAGTTGATCCCAACTCACGGTGACCCCGGAGAACAAAGTGGAACTGCCCTGTGGGGTTTTCTAGGCTACAGTCTATGGAAGTAGGTCACCAGCCTTTCTTTACATGGCACCACTGGGTGGGTTTGAACCACCACCGTTCAGGATAGTGGTCAAGGGCAAGCTGTTAGCGTCACCCCAGGACCTACAGGTGTGCACAGACATACGTATAGTTTTTTTTTTTTAAACGTAATTTTTTTTTCCTGGCTGTACAGTGTGGATACCGTTTCTTGTCTAACCCCAAAACTGCTTGATTATTTCTGATGGCGGTCTAGGACCTGGCCAGGACTCTCCCACAGCAACCCCTCGGCCCCTTTGTGCATAAGGGTCATCCCAGAGTTTGTGCGCTCCTAGGAAGTGTCGCTGCAGTGGGATCTTCCTTCCCCACTTGGTCACAGCGCAGTGGTGGCCTTGCAGGGGCAGCCAGGCCTGCTTCTGAGGCGTTTGCGGTGCCCTGCCAGGCTCCCGTCCCTGGAGAAGGACGTGCTTGGTAAAGTAGAGGGTCAGTGGGAAAGAGAGGTACCCTCAACGAGACAGGTGGGTGCAGTGGCTGCCACGAAGGGCTCAAGCATGGCAACGATTGTGAAGTTGGCACAGGCCGGGCAGGCTTTTCCTGTATTGGACACAGTGTTTCTATGAGTCAGAATCGACGGCACCTAACGGCAACTGCCAGGCTGCCTGCAGGAGGTTGTCTGCCTCAGTGATTATTAGTAATTCCCTCATTCCTGTTCTTCTCCCAAAACTGCCTGGTGTAGGGTTTTCTGACCTTGAACCTCAGGACCGATCCATAATCCTGGCTCTGCTCCCAGGAGGCCTGAGGAAAGCAAAGGCTTCCTGGAGGATGCAGCTTTTGCGCCTGGTGGCCCCTGGCCACACCGAGACCTTGTGCCTGTGTCCTGAGGGGTGGCCCAGGAGCTGTCCTTCCTGACACTGAGCCATGTCCTCCACCTGTCCACTTCAGGATGAGAGCTTCTCCCTCCCCGAGGCAGCCACTCTGCCCACGAACACTTCCAGGGTCAGAATGTTCTTTCCCAGGCCGGCGTGAGGCTGGCTGCTGGGGCGCTCTGCCCCCTTAGAGGGGTCTCTTCCTTTCCCTCCAAGTGATCTCTCTGTCGCTGTGGGCCTTGCCTCGTCGCCTTCCCACGTGTGTGGGTGTGACCAAGTGCGGGCCAGTTGCCTGCCTCCCACACACTCCCACCCTCCTGGCTGTACCCTGGAGGGGGTGGTTAGAAGACCCCTCAGGGCCTCCTGGAGCCCAGGGCCAGGCGCCAGCATCTGGATTTGGTTCTGCTTTGACCGGAGCTCACCGTGTGAACTGGATGGACTCCCTTGCCTGCCCTGCCTCATCTGAGACCATTTGCCAGGGGCCCTGGGGCTTTTGTCTCTGCTGTGCCTCTGCCTAGCCCCCGGCCCACCCTGGAGTGATGAGCCACCCTCCCCTACTGACTGCCTGGTGCCCACCCTGGGCTGGGTGAGGCCTGGCTTGGAGTCAGCCCCAAGGGCTTCCCGGGCATCGGAGGTCAGCGTGCCCCCTGCCCTGCCCAGCCCACCTGGCTCATGGCCGCCTGCTTCTCCAGGGTGTTTAAGTGCAGACCCCTTTCTGAGGCCTTGCTTGGGGACGTGGGACCTTGTCTCAGCTCGGCCCCCAGCTTGCCAGTATATTCCTGAGTTCTTCCTGCTACCCGGACCACTCCCACACTGATGGCCGAGGTGGTCTCCTTGCCCCCAGCCCTGCCGTGCTCTTGGATGGATCCCTCCTTCCCTCCCCTCCTGGAATGTTCTGGGCTGTTCAGCAGCCCCACTCCTGGACTCACTCCCTACCTGACCACCTTGTGTGTGGCCTGGGCGGGCCACTGTCCTCTCTGTGTGCTCACACTGTGGGCCGGTGTCGGTGTCACTCTTCACGAGGACACGGGATGGGTGGGGACTGCAGAGGGGCAGGGCTGAGGTCCAGTGGCCCCTGTGTGTGACGGCTCGTGACCTTTTACAGAACGTCAGTCATGACACCCGGAGGTTCCGCTTTGCGCTGCCATCGCCCCAGCACATCCTGGGCCTGCCCATCGGTGAGTCCTGCCTAGTGCAGCCAGACAGCTGTGTGGGCAGCCGGGTGCTAGGTCATCAGGATGGGAGAGCCGGGAAGGCTTCAAGAAGGAGGTGCTGCCTGGGCCTGCTCTAGTGGGCTTGTCACATGAGAGTGGGGAGGGCCTGCATCCCAGGCAGGAGTACCAGCACAGCAGAGGGTTGGAGGCAGGACACTGGGCTGCAAGTGTCATCTGGGTCCAGGGCATTGGGGGCCAAGGCTGGGCCAGGCTTTGGGCAAGGCGCTGGGCAGGGGGAGCCAAGCGAGATGGGTTGACCAGGCCTGGGGATGCCCAGAGTCACCCTGCCCGTCCTGCTGCAGGCCAGCACATCTACCTCTCGGCACGAATCGACGGCAACCTGGTTGTCCGGCCCTACACGCCCGTCTCCAGCGATGATGACAAGGGCTTTGTGGACCTGGTCATCAAGGTGAAGGCTGCAACTGTGCAGGGGCGTGGTGTGGGGAGGGCCATGACTGCAGGAACATGGTAGGGGAGGGCCACGACTGTGCAGGGGCGTGGTGTGGGAGGGCCGTGACTGTGCAGGGGTGTGGTGGGGGAGGGCCACGACTGTGCAGGGGCGTGGTGGGGGAGATGGCCACGACTGCAGGGGCATGGCAGGGGTTGGGGGCAGGCACAGCCACAGTGGCGGCCTCCCAGGGGCCCCACAGCCCTCCAAGCCCAGCCCTCCTGTGTGTGTTTGTCCTCAGCGAACAGTAGTTGACCGACAAACACCAGCTGGCCTGCAGGGGAGGAGGTCTGGGCAGAGGGAGGAGGCTGGGATTCAGCTGCGTGTCTGCAGACGAGGACAGTTGTTGGCAGCGAAGGCCGGCCGCTAGAGCAGGGGTGTGCGTGCTTCTTTGCATCAGAGACCCCCCTGCTTGCCCTTCAGGGTCCAGCGCAGTGCCCCCGTGATGCCCAGGGTGGTGGGCAGGGCAGCAGTGTGAGGGGCCTCCTGTAGTGGTGACTGGGGAGGCGGCAGGTGACAGTCGGGCCCACCTTCAGGGTGGGGGGTGCATGCACCCTACAGAAGAGAAAACACGGCTCTTCAGAACCACTGTGCCGAGGGAAGAGTCAGACACGGTGGCAGCTGTCCCAGCTGTGTGCTCCCGGCACTTAGAAATGCCAGCCTTACAGCAGCCGTCCACATTCTCCCATGCTGTTCTCCTGCCCGGAGGAATGCCCCAGCTGGTGCGGGGCCCGTTGGAGCCCTGGGACCAGCCCTGCTATCCTCGCTCACTGCAGGACACAGTCCTAGAGCCCTTCACTGGCCCTTGGCTGGAGGGATGGAGGCAGAGACCCCTGTTGGGCCTTAGCCGAGGCCCTAACTGGCTGGGTTCAGTGGGCTCTGGCCTGGCTCTCTGAGGGTGGGAAGGGAGCTGGGCCTATCTCTGGCCTGGCCTGGGTCCTTCTGGAGACACGTGGTCCAATCAGTGTCATTTGGACACACGCTGAAGGCTCAGGAGCCCATCTGGCTGGGAGCAGATGTTACAGGGGTTGGGGCCTTAGGGGAGGTGCACACAGGGCGGCGAGCTGGGCCTGGGGGAGGGGCAGGAACTGCCTCCCTGGGCCTGAGCAGCACGGGCAACACCTGGCCTCTGAGGAGCTCTTGGCCCGCTGGAGAGGGAGGACACGACCTCCTGCGTGCAAAGGCCCTGAAGTCAGGGGAGGGTTGGGGACTGAAGTGGCCAGAGGGCAGGGAGCAAAGGGTAGGAGGTTAGCAGGCAGAGCCTTGGAGGCCCCGAGAAGGTATGGGACTTGGGCCAAAAGCAGAGGGCAGGAGGCAAGGGTAGAGCCCACACTCTATTTGAAGTCACTCTGGCCGGATGGGGAGAGGGTTCTGGATCCAAAAGACAACAAAACGCTCCCAGCCGAGTACTCCCTTCCAGCATGAGGACCTCACTGGCACCCTTGGTCCCTGGATAAAATTCAGGTGCGCGGCACCCAGGGCCGGGACAGTGTGCTCTGTCACCTCGCCTGCCCCCACGGACAGGTCCCCTATGCTGGAGCTGTCGCACACTCTCCTTCCCCCGACCCCTCGAGCCCCTTTGGGCCTTGGCCCGTGCTGTCCCTGTCACCGGCTGCCTTTCCCTCCTCCGCTTGTCAGACTCCTGCTTGCCCTCCGGGCTCACCAATGCCCCCATGAGCCCTTCCCCGGCCCTGCACAAGGTGAGCAGTCCCCTCTGGACACGGCTGAGGCACAACCCTTCCCTCTTCCCTAGTGATCCCACAGGGCACAGGACTGAATCCCAGAGCTTCCTGGGGGCAGCAGAAAGCGGAAAGAGCCAAAAGCCCAGCGGGGGTGGGGTGGGGCTGGGTGGACTTATCAGAGGCCCCAGCAGGAGGAGGCCTCGGGAGTCACTCATGGTCACACTGATCCATTGCCCTTGTCTACCAGGCTGCTGCTTTGTTCTTTCCAAGGGCTCCTTACATGGAGGGCAGACTCCTGGGGGGATGGGACATGGGGAGGGGAAGTTTTGAAGGGGGATGGGGCTGAGGGAGAAGGCCTCATCTGGCCACAGAGGAGCCCCAAAAGAGAGCTGGCCCCAGTGACCCTGGTCCACCCGGGGGGGCAGAGGACTGACGGTGTGTGTTGCAGGTTTATTTCAAAGACACTCATCCCAAGTTCCCTGCTGGAGGGAAGATGTCCCAGTACCTGGAGAACATGAAGATTGGGGACACCATTGAGTTCCGGGGCCCAAATGGGCTGCTGGTCTACCAGGGCAAAGGTGATTGGGGTTAGAATCCCCTGGGTTGCAGGCGGGAGTGGTGAATGTGAGGGGTTGGGCTGGGTGTCCTGGGTTAGAGTGCTGACTGCTGCTGTCAGATGGTAACTTCCTGGGCAAGCCGTTTTCTCTCTGGAGCCTTTGTCTCCCCAGCAGTGAGGGACATAAATTGGCCAGCATAGGGGTTGCCGAGTGGCCGTCCTTGGGGGACACGTCTGGCCCACAGACCAGCGTTAGTTGACTCGGCCTCTGAAAACAAGCAGAGAGGTGGAGTTGGGAAGCCCACTTCTTCAGTCACTGTTCTGCCATTGTACTCATCGAGGGCCCCTGATGTTTACTGTGACATTGGAGTTTGAGACCCCTGACCCAGCCTGGTCTCCAAGAGTGGGTCCCTGGGGTCCCTGCCTTCCCACCTCTCTCACACCCTAAGTGATTGGGTTGTATGGTGGCTACCCTGCGTCTGACCAACGGTGGAGCAGGTCCTCTGGCCCCTCCGGCCCCTGGGGCGTGTTTGAGAACCCGGCCTCACCCCTTCCCCTCTCTTCCCAGGAAAGTTTGCCATCCGTCCAGACAAGAAATCCAGTCCCGTTGTCACGACAGTGAAGTCTGTCGGCATGATTGCGGGAGGAACAGGTATGTCCCTGGATGTCACAGGTCAGAGTCGGGCGTGAGCTGGGCACAGATGACAGTGAGCTGCCGAGGTCGGCCTGGTCGGCCTGGCCCCCCTCCCCGGCCTGGGGTCTGTGTGCTCAGCAGGTGCTCACTCAGCGCACGGGCGCCTGTTTTCCAGGCATCACCCCAATGCTGCAGGTGATCCGTGCCATCATGAAGGACCCAGACGACCACACCGTGTGCCACCTGCTCTTTGCCAACCAGGTCAGTGGGTGGACCCTGCGGTGGCACGGGGCCTTCCAGGGCTCCACACGCTCTCGGGACAGCATGATATGGGGGTGTTCTGGGCCCAGGTGGCCTCTGCAGTGGGTGTAGGTCGGGGTCTCAGTCCCCCTAGAGCCCAGTGTGTGACAGAGTGGGCCACTCAGGGAGGGGCGGCATCTGGAGCAGCTCCTTGCCTCCCCGTGAGGGCTCCCCGTGCCCATGCCTTCTACACGCAAGGCTTGGAACCCACGCGGACAGTGGGAAGAACGCTGCCTGGGCTCGGGCCACCCCGACATGGCAGTGAGCTGCCGAGAGTGGTCGTCTTCTGCACGGCCCCCTGGGTTGGTGGGTATGAGGCGGGAACCTTGGTCTCTGACTCCCATGTCCTTGGCATCTTCCCCAGGCCACAGGCTCACCTGCCTGGCGGCCTTGCTCTGCGGCCTTGGCCTGGTCCCTCTCTCTCTCTGGGCCTCGCTGCCCCTCTGTAGAGGGAGCTGGTGGAGTCTTCCCAGGCTCAGCGGCTCATCACTGTGGTTGTGGGTTTGTGAAGTGACGCCCCATTTCAGGGAGGCCGAGGCAGTCCCCCGAGTGGTATGGGGCCATGCCTGGACCCCCTGTGTGTCCCAGACGGGGTTTAGGTCAGCTCGGGCAGGGAGTCCATCTGGCCCGAGCTCTACTTTGTGACCTGAGGAAACTGAGCCCAGAGTCCTGGGGTTGCCTGAGGTCCTCGAGGCCCCAGCTGGGGAGAGAGAAAGGGTGTGGGTGGTAGAGGCCCCCTCCCCTCCTCAACCCCACGCGCTGCAGGAAGCTGCCCACCGCCAGCCGAGCTGGACTTGACCAGCTCCGGGGGCGGGGGTGGGGAGAAAGCCAGAAGCTCTGAGCTGACTGTGGGGTGGGGCCAAGGCTCGTGGAGGCATCAGGGCCTCCCTCACCTGCACAGGGCGCAGTCACACCTATCCACCTACTGGCCAGGGTGGCAGGACCGCCTTTTGTAGGTCTGGACACTGAGGCTCAGAGAGGGCCGTGACCACTCGCGTCTCCCAAGAAGTGGAGAGATTGGGGACAAGGGCCCTGGAAGCCTCGTCCAGGGCTCTGTCCACCGCAGGCCAGCATCCCACACGTGTGCTAACGAGGGGCTGGTTGAGCCGCCCTCCGTGGCCATGCACAGCGGCCAGCACATTGTGTGAACGTGAGTGAGGGCTGACAAGCTGTGTAGACGGGGGCTGGGGAAGGGGGCCCAGGCATTGAGGGTGGGGGCAGTGAGGAGGAGGGTCAGCCATTGATGGGGATGGTGAGGAGGGGGCCCAGGCATTGAGGGTGGGGGCGGTGTGGAGGGTCAGCTGTTGGTGGGGGGAGGCATGTCTGGCCTCCTGGGCTTGAGGTGTTCTGTTGGGAGGGGTCCCAGCTCTCAACCAGGGCCATGAGATACCTGGCAGCTGGGTCGTTCACACGTGTGGCCTCACACAGCATGTCCCCTTGAGTCACCCCTCTGACGTTCTCAAGCCTGGAGTAGGGATGGGAAGGGGCTGGGAGGGGGCTCAGGGGCTCTCCTAGGAGTTCTCCAGAGGTGGGCGGAGGCCAGTCAACACCAAGAGGTTCCCAGGCTCCGGACCCAGAACGGGCCAGGGAACTGATGGGTATCACTTACTGAGATGCTTGGGGTATCACTCAGAGCCTGCACGGCTCTCCTGGGAGGAGCTGCAGGCAGCCCGGGGATCCCTGTCGTCCTTGGCCAGTATGGACGCTTCCTCCCCTGGGAAGAGGAGGGCTGGGGAGGGGACGGGACCCCACCCTCTTCCGTGACCAGGCTTTCTGCAGCCCAGCACGGACAGTGGTCAGCACAGTGGTGATGGCCACCGTTCCACAGCACGTGCTGTGCACCAGGCCCTGTGGGACCTGACCCAGCCTCACAGCAGCCCTGCAATGTGGCTGTGGTTTATGGGAAATTCAGGCCCAGAGGGGACGTCATTGCCTGGGTCACACTGCCTGTGGCTCAGGCCAGACAGCAGCTTTCTCTGCCAGCCCCAGGAGCCACCTGTCCCACTTGCATTGGCCCTGCTTACAGGGACCAGTTTCGCTTCCTCTGGGTGGAACACGGGCTGGTTCAGGCCCCTCACGTCTCACAACTTCTCTTCTCCAGTGCTTCTCAATTATTCTGGCCTCAAGAACCCCTTTTTATACTGTAACAAATTATCAGGAACCCCAGGGAGCTTTGGTCTTTGTGGGTTACAGCTATCAGTTAGAAATTAAAGCAGAGATATTTTAAAGTTATCTGTTAATTCATTTAAAAATGACACAAATAATCCCATTCCATATAAAAATCAATCACACAGTTTTCTGAAAAATAACTGCTTTGGAAAACACTGCTTTGTTTGGAAGTTTTGCGAACCTCTGTAACATCTGGCTTGGAGCAGGATTCCCACCTCTGTGGCTGTGTATGTGAGATAGCGCAGGTCACGGCATCTGGAATGTTCCACAGCATCATCATGAAGGACTGAGAGTGAAAATCCAAGTCATGCCTCAGTAGTGTTGTCAGAGTAATTCTCGCCCAGGGGCCCTCTGAAGGATTTTGGGGACCTGGCTGCCCAGGCTGTACTCAGAAGCGCTGCTTTGGTCCAGTCGGACCATTGTGACCTCCTCCTTCCTCAGTGCCCGGCTTTGAGGGGAAGGCCGCCCGCCCTTTGGGTTGCAGCCCCTGCCCAAGGTCCACTCTCAGACCTCAGTGTGTTTCTACGTTTCACAATAAGAAGGTGGCCTGGTTGGTTATCTACAGTGTGGGGTGACAGTGGTGGCCCCTCAGGACCACATGGGAGGAGGTTGCACTGAGGATGGGCGTCCTGAAGTTGGGGACAGGGAGGAGGTTTGCACGTGGTGATGGCCTGTAGGAGATAAGACCCAGGTGCTGAGGGAGCTTCGAAACAGTGAACTAGTCCTTGGCCTTGGACGCCAGACCCACACTGCTGAGTCTACTCTGGCGCGGCAGCCCCGGCTGCTGAGTAGGACTGTGCTGCTTAGGGCTGTCAATGGGCCACTTTCCAAAGGTGGGTCACCAGTCCTTTCTTCCAGGTGCCTCTGGGCCAACTCGAATCTCCAGCCTCTTAGCAGCCAAGCACTTAGGTGTTTGCAGCCCCTAGGGACTCCTGTTCTCGGACAGAGGGACTCGCTCTATTAGGGACGTCAGTTCTTTCTGAATTAATGCTCACATTCCCAGAGAGGTGACTTCCCCTTTCATATGCCAGAATGGTCCAGAATAGTCTAGAGGACCAGGGATCCGAGTGTGGCCAGAACGTCTGGAAAGAGGAGACCTGAGGAAGCACTTGCCACCTTAGACTTTGAATACGTGAAAAGTGTTGCTGGGGAAACGGCATGGTCCCAGAGCCTCCCTAAGGCCACTGGACGCGGTGCACTTCTGGGTGACGCGGCGGAAAGCCGAGGGCTGCCCTGGAACATGCTAGAACATGTGACCGTTCACATTTACAATTCATTAAAATGTAAAATTCACTTCCTCATTGCATTAGCCTCATGTTAAGTGCCCCACAGCTGTCTGTGGTCTGCAGCAGACAGACCCAGCCTTGTCATCATCACAGCTGGTCTCTGGCCCAGCAGCAGTGCTCTGGACACACCCAAGTGTACGTGAGACTTAGTACCTGACACAGACCTCAGCACAGAGGCTGGATGAGGGCCGGTGGGTCACTGGCTACACGTTTGGGAAGAGCTCGTAGGTCTCTTGAGTCTGGTGGCACAGTGCCTAAGGCATTTGACCGCCAACAAGAAGGTTGGTGGTTCAAACCCACCAGCCACTCCACGGAAGGAAGACTGAGCAATCTATTTCCATAAAGGTTTACCACCTTGGAAACCCAAAGGAGGTTGCTGTGAGTTGGACTCGACTCAATGGCAGTGAGTGAGTGTGTTTGAGTGAGTCGGTCCCTTTAATAACAGTTTAGATGGAAGATATACGTCAACCAAACTGTAACAGAATGAGTCACGAGACTGCATTTTTATAAGAGTGAGTGAGTGAGTGACAGTGGTTAGACTAATTAAGGCACAAAACGAGAAGAACCCAGAGAGGAAAAGGCTAATGGAGTCATCCTATTAAAACTAGGTTCCTTTATTGCGGTTTGGGTGCGAGTTTACAGAGCACAAGAATTTCCCGTCTGTGCACGTTTTGTTTTGTGACATTAGCTGCAGTCCCTGTCGTGTGACAGCGCTCTTCCCGCCCCCTCCCTGAGTTCCCCCGGTTCCCTTAGTCCTTGCACCCCTCCCACCTTCCCAGCTTTGCTTTCGGGCACATGCTGTCTTCTGGTCTCTTGGACGATTGTTCTGAGGAGATGTTCCTCACGGATGTTGATCGTTCCCTTTACGAGCCTGTCTGGTGTGTGGCTGCAAAGTGAGCCGTGAGGGCTGCAGCTCGGGGGTTCCGCCAGTCTCTGTCAGGCTGGTCAGGCTGCGCGATTTTACGATTTTGCACGTTCTACATTTTCCTCCCGTGTTGTCCAGGACTTCTGTGGCTCCGGTCAGAGCAGTCAGAGCCAGACACCTTCTAGTTCTTCTGGTCTCGGGGTTGTGGAGGCTGGGGTTTCCATGGTCCATTCATTAGTCCTTTGGACTGATTGTTTCCTTGGGTCTTTGATGTTCTTCCCTCTTCTTTGCTCTGGACGGGGAGAGACCAATAGTTGAACCTTAGATGGCTGATCACAAGCTGTTAAGATTCCAGTCACTACTCACCAAAGTAGGATATAGAACATTGTTTTTGTGAACTATGTCATAGCCAGGTAAAAATTAAAAGCTTTCTTGGGGGGGCACTAGAAATAAGGTGGAAAGAAAATACATAATGCATATTACCGATAAAAATTAATGTCCTTAATATAGAGAGTTTTTACACATTAATATGACTTGAATAGATCCGTGAGCACAGAAAGATGCTCTTAGTAATTGTGATGAGAATTGAAACACCAGTGAGACTTAGTTTCCATCCATCTGATGGGTGAAGATTAAATAGGTCGTACCATGTCAGCAAAGGCACAGGAAGATGGACGTGAGCGGACATGCTGTGGGGGTAGGAAGATGGACGGGAACGGGCGTGCCATGGGGGGGCATAAGTTGGTGTGACTTTCCTGGGGACTAACTTGGCCACGTGTATCAAAAGCCTTCCCAACGTGGATTTTTCTGACGCCGAAACTCCAGGGCCTCATATTTATCCCAAGTATCTGGTAGGGCAGTGGCGATGTCCAAAGAGGCGTTGTTTGTAAAGGAGGAAGTGTTAAATCTTCGGAACATCCTTCCACGGGGAACTGGGGACAGGCTGGTCCTTGGCCCGTGGGAGCTGGGCCGTGGTCAGAGGGTGTTGGAACTCAGAGGCTGCCACCCACAATGGGGCTGGGCGTGGCAAGGCAATGCCCATGGCTGAGCCCGTTTTATTAAAGAAGACGAGTTAACAGAAAAGGATGTCTGAAAGACACCCACAAAAATCGGGACAGTCGTTGTCTCTGAGGGTTTCGGGTGGTCTGTCACTTCTTCCTTGTTTTCTGCATCTTTTGTCTTGATGTTCTCTGGTCTGAGCCTCCTTCCTGTCCTCACCTCGTCAGGCGGAAGGGCCCTCAGCGCCCCCTCAGAGACCAGAGAATCCTGCCGATCCCCCACCTTGGGCAGCAGTGGTGTCTCCCCGCATAGGGAGACTGAGATCCGGGCCTCGCAGGTCTGGGGTCGAGGGGACAGTGTGGACACCTCCAGTCTCTCCTGTGGCCAGGGCGGTCCAGCCATGCAGCCGGTGCTCAGGAAATAGGGACGCAGTAGCTTTTAAAGCTCCAACATTTTCCTGCCCACAGGGGCCCGTTGTGATTGGAGTTGCCTGGACAGTCCTCTGGTCAGTGTGGGTGGGGTCTGCCCGCCTGTTACCCAGCCAAGGGGCTCAGTGGCACTTTGTTAGTGGCTGAGACCTTCTGGTGGACAGAGCTCTTGGGCGCCTAGTTTCTTAACAGACGTGCTGAGGAGCTGAGCTTGTGAGGCTCTTCAAAATGGGGGGGGCGTCATGGAGGAGGTGACACCAGGCTGGATGCCAGGTGAGGAAGGTGGGTGGGGCTGTAAGCCAGGCAGAGAGGGGTCTGCTCAGGCAAGGCTGTGGGGGCGGGGGAGGCAGAAGTAACGAGGAGCAGTGTTGTGTTTCCTGCTTTGTGGACGGACCACAGGAGGCAGCAAAACGTTAAATGACTTTACATCGAGGTCCCAACAGAGCCTGGTGGCAAACACTCATCCTTTTATGCAAACTGTTCATTAATTTAACTTTTATAGCCACCCCCTGGGAATAACCCTAAGACCTGGGATGACGGAGAAATGCCCCACTACTAGCTTAAAGGTTGGGAGTTTGAACCCAACCAGAGGTGCTTCAGAAGTCAGGCCCCAGGGTGGGCTTTTCAAAAGTCATGGCCTTCTATAAGTTCATGTGAATGATCAGAATTCCCAGGTGTATAGTAGAGCTGACAAGGGGCAAGGTTATGGTCATTACTTGGTCACAGCCAGCTACC